TCCATTTGGATTGGTGCGGGCACTGAGTGGGCTCAACGAATCCTGTACGGGCCATCGCTTGATCTGTCTGAAAAGTCTGAGCTTTTTTCTGACCGGAGTGGCTTACTTGTACCATTTCGCAGCTTCACAAGATTTAAAGGTCTCACCAAAGTGAGACTTGCTAGCTAACGTCAAATAACAAAAATAACCAACAAGAGTGGAAAATGCTTCCCCCCCCCCTCAACCGAACAAAGCTAAAACTAGTGACGTTTTAGAAGTATTTAGAAATTTATTTGTTCGACTTACCACTCAGTTGCTAATATTCTTTGTCATTGCTTGCAGACGCCGTCGTTATAACATCGGCATGTTCCGCGTTAGATACAATTTTGAATTACCTGTACAAGAGGTTTACAAGATCACCGCATCCGGTTGCAAAGGTTTGTCATGTTAATTTCGAAGATTTCGGTTTTTTAATGCTTATGGAGCAGATGATTTGAATTCATTTGAATTTGTAAAAGGGTATAGGTCAGGAGATCCAAGTCTCGGTGGCGAGCAGGCAAGAAGTTCACTGCGCGACTCGCAACCCATGACGTCATCCATCCGGAGGTAGTGGTCGAGCTGGGTGTATGTAAGTCCCCCCCCCCCTTGACGAAGGTGCATTGGATATACGGCAAGCGTTATTGCTAAATGACTGACTCGGGTTTTTGACGAGGCAATCGTAATTCGCCGCACTAGTAGGCCTCGCGTGCGACGTCGCTCCTGCAAATGATGATACTTCTAGGTCGTAGATGGCGACAATACAGAGTGTATATCCACAATAGTCATAAATTACCCTGATTTCCCTTTCCGTATAGAATCCGATGCTGTAAACGACAGGCTAATACGATTGAGAAAATACCGCGCGCGACGAAGCGGCAAATGGTTGTCTTGACCGTCTCCCAATCGAATCTACGCTCTAGATTGAACAGCGTCCAGCGTGAACACTGCCCTTAGCTGCACAGCACTTGTATTTCTAACTTCTTTGTACTTTCTTATCATTCTTCCAATTATCCGTATATGGTTTAGGTAGGCATGGAACCCGAAGGAGACTCCTGTCTAGTAGCTGTCAAAAACCAGCCGCAGTTGATGTCTGACGTAAGTCGCATTTATTAATTTAGGTTCTGATTCTCTAAAATCTCTATAATAATTAATTTAATTTAATTTAATTTATAATCTGTAAAGTGTACGATAGGGTTGATGTTGCTGCTCCATTGTGTTTTTTTTACAGATTTTAACGTCCATGATGACATCGCTAATGTTTGGCGAGGTAAAATGCCAATGGAGTATATCTCGTCCTCTGCTAGGGCTGATTCTCTTGCAGGTGAGTTATGTGAACAACTTCCAGTTGTGGTATCCCTTTGTTTTGTTTCCTTTGCCTTCTAGTTTTTTTGATCACCGGTAAAAATTTTTTGTGGAAATGTTTCACCAAAATATACTTCAGGAGGAGGTCTTCACAAATTTCAAGCGTGAAATCATATCACAACAACCAGAGGATCGGCATGCGGCATTCGATCAGGTGGGACTTCCTTCATGATTTTTTGACTTCCTCTGATTTGCTTACACGGTTCTGCCTAAATTCAACCTCTGACACATTTTTTAAGCATTCTCTCTTATCAATAACAACATTGTAGGCGTTCATTGGATTAATGGATGGTGTTGAATTGTCACTGACGGTGAAAACAAGGACATCTTCACTCAAAACCTGGCGAAATTCCGTCGAGAAATCGTTGAAGCAGTTAAAGGCAAGGAGGTGTCGCCATCGGCCAGCAATAATGAGATGTGCTAGTTGAACGTGAGAAGTACCCAGTTGTGTTTTGGTCCTATAGACGGCTCTTGTCACAGTGAGTATTGATGTTATTGCCAGGCAGAGCAAAGAAAGGATACGTCACAAAGAGTTTGAGTAATTTATCCTTTTCGAAAGTACTGCCGTGGTTCGTTTTCAGTCTGTTGGAGGCACGGTTTGGGATGGCCGTATGGGCGGGTTCAAACGTACACTAGTGGATTTCCTATTGGCGCATCGTTCTCTCGAAACTGCGTTCATACTTTATAAGTGAAGAACCTACGAACTGAAATAACGCCATGTGCACCCTTTCGCGATTCCTTCAGTTCTTCAACTCTTCACTTTCGCAAAGTATGAACGCGGCCTAAGGCATTGTTCACAGTCTGCGGCACAGCATTCCTCTAGAAAGAAACGCTCCATCGAAAAGCTTTTGATACGTATCGATTGGCGGTTGGGCGAAGAGTCTGGCGGTTGCGCGAAACGGTTTTGATACGTATCGACGGGCGGTTCGGCGAGCGGTTGGGCGAAAAACGCTAGTCCGACCGCTCTGGCGTTTTTCTCTAGGGCGGAGCGAGCGAAATCGATACGCATCTATTGCTTTTCGCCGAACCGCCGAACCGCGGCGGCGTTTCTCCAGAGCGGTTGGCGATTCTCCGATCAATACGTATTTATTGCTTTTCGCCGAACGCTGTTTCGTCAGCGTCAGCAGACTGTGAACAGTGCCTGATGAGTGCGTCACTGAGAAAAGTACAGTAGTATACAAGACCCCTCCTATACGATCAGTGTGTTTGTGCCTTTAAAAAGGCTCACTGTTGCTGGAGCTGACTGTAATAGTTTGGTCACCTTTATCGCATCCCCACTCCCGTCTCAGGATCCATTTTCTCTCCCTCGTCACCGGTTTCCTCAATTCTTGTTAAATTGCTTTTCATCTCTTATCGATCCTTGTTTACAGTCTGGTTCGCTGCAGATGATGGGGCGTATCCGCGCGACTGCATTTGGCACGCTGCCAGATCCATTCTTCATCAGTTGGTAGAGCGGGTAAGGGTCAACAGCGGATGAAAAAAAGACTGATGCGAGGGATATGACACAGTCCTGCTGATTGTCGAAAGAAAGGAAAGAAAATGGGTTGGCGTCGCGCCAAACGCAGCCGCGCTTACACGCCCCATTTCCCGCAGCAAACCAGACTATGTATATGTGTATAACGCGGGTCCTAGTGTGTTGTTGAAATCGCAATCAGACGTCATCTCACCTCGTGGTCCACACTCATCGTCATATTATCGAAATTTCCACTAGGCTTCATTCTTGTAATGTCTGTATTCATGCAAGGCGGAGATGTAGCGCAGGTCCGTTACCTGAGCTGACGCGTCATTGAAGACGTTAATGACGAGAAAACCTGTATTTTACCTGTTCAATGAGGTTTCAAGACACGTCATTAACGTGTGGTGTGGAGTCAATAACACGTCATCAGTCTCTTAACAGGTAAGGTACCTGTGGTACATCAGCGCTTGTCATTCTCCGCCTTTCTTTGTTCCTGTTTCTAGCTTTTTCAGTTCCTCGCTTCTCAGTTATAATCATCGTAGGCTTTGCCATTCATTCTTGCTTCTTCGGTTTATTACCGGTTCTTACATTTTTTAATGCATCAAGATATTATTGTTACAGAGCTGTAGAGAAATCAATAAATGTACCTTTAAGACAACCTCGCGATTGTATATTGTGGATATGCCGTTCAACTATAAACGTACAGTCGCTAAATGACTCTTTAGGGAAGAAAAAGCAAAAAAAAATGGAGAACAACTTAAATAGGGGACTGAGAGCTTCCCTGAACGAGTCTCCGGACCTGCTTCTTTTATGGCCAGCAATGCGATATCATGCCGCCTGCGGCTCACTGATCGTTTCTTCGATTCATCCAGCACTAAGGCTATCTAACAGTGGAAAAACGGACAATCAGGGATCAAACTGGCGCTTATGAGGACCGCAGCGTCTTCGTCAATAACTGTGAAGCCGCGAAAGTGAGGTAATCTGGCTGAGGACCAGGCTATTTCTACAAAGGGAGCCCACGAGTTGCTGGAGCGGAGGCTGTCTTTAAAATCATATGGCACGATAATTCCGTACTCGGTCTAAAATGCTAGCATGTTATTGGTGAAAATGGCGAAAAAGCGAAGTAAAACGGTCAAAAACCCGGGAAGAAAACATTTTTCATGACGCAGAAAACAATTTCGGACGAGTTCCCCGCAAGCATCTTGCCAATAACCACGACGGTGGATGGCTGCATGTATGTACTCATATTGTGGGCGGCCGAGAGCGGTAAGCGTCCGGGTCGGTATGTTGCGTTGATAATGCCTAATGAGGGTAGATTCCCTGGAAAAGTGCTACGCAGCGCCTGCTCAGGGGCGTGGAATTCCGTCCTGCCAGGCGTACTAATCCTGCTCGTCTTAGGGATTTATCGTGCCAACTCTCTTTAATGAAACTTGGTGTCCAGAAGAGTCGGGGAGATGGTGTAATGGCAAGTTGCGCCACTTGCTATGCATCCAGTTTCAGCATGAAATCTCAGACCCCCTGTCCAGACCGGCTAACCGAATCTTCCATACGTCCATGGTTGGAGAGGAGAATGTCTAAATGGGTTTGAAATTTTTTTTAGTAGGTGGTTCATCTGTTCCGTGCACCTTCCCCCTCCTCCTACTCCCACTTTTCGGTGCAGCCAAAGCCCTCAACAACAACAACTATTTCCGATACTTCGAGTTACTCGGCGGTGACCTCCTCCACTCACTGTGGTTTTGGCGAAAAAACTCTAAGTTCTTTGAAAAGGGGGGGGGGGAACAATAGGACTGGGAAAAGTCAGTAAGGTAGAAAGGATGAAGCAGAGGGGTCGTACCAAAGAACGAAAAAAAGGAGGGGGGGGGTGAGGAAAGTCGTACTTTGCGAAAATATTCCCCAGCAGCAGGACATGCCCTGACAGACTCTCCCCGCCCCTCCCCATATTCCAAGTCTCGAGCTGCCAGTTGTGGTTACTATGAGGCCATGAAGTGATCACACAAATTTCAATATAATACTTTATTACCATCAATTTATTAAAGTATAAATTCAACAACGAAATTGATGACCCGTTCCTTTACGAGATTGAAGAAAGTCATGTGTCTTTTCAAATATACCCGCTAAAGTAAACACATCAAAATTGTAAATTTAGCCATGTTCCTAATTGTTCATGTGAAAAGCACCAAAATGAACAGAGCCGATGAAAAAGAAGCAGAGTCCCATTCATTCCCTTCGTCTCTGCCCATAAAGAACAATTACAGAGGCATTAGAATAGGCTAAGAATATGCTTGGCGTTCTGTACATTATCAGTGAAGGATGCTCCGCCAGCTAGAGCGCTCTGATCGTTCTACAGCTTCTGGTACTGAAATCAGTACTGACCATGAGTCTCGCACTTCATCAGTTTTAATCGGCGTTGCGGACTGCTCTCAATCGCGTTGCCACCAGCCTCCCAAAGTTGACGGATCTTTGTCATTGGATTTGAGAGGAGTCCTTGCTTCTGGCTGAAAAATTAAATAATCAAAAACCTGACTGAAATTAATTGGGAATTGCCACCTACCTTGTTTATGTCAGGAACCACCAGGCGAATTTCATGGATTTCTAGACTGTTTCTCGCCATCAAATCCGTTGCAGGGTGCGCGTCAAAGCTATATCTAGGTCGAGGAGTCTCTGTAAAAGTAGATTTTGAGAGCAGTACTTTCACACAACTGAGTGCTGATCACTCACCGACAGCAAGCAAATTCCCAGTGTACATCTTCGATGTGCTCTCTTTAGCAGCTGCATGTATGACCATTGAAGTTGCTGAGACTCGATGTGAAGTGAGAGCCAGCTGGAAACCTCGAGATTAAGTTGTATATCCCAAGGAGCTACTCGCAGGAGCTTACCTGCTCGCTCCTAGTGGGACTAGTCAGACCAGATGGCTTGTGACGTGATACCTCCAGTTCAGCCAATGCTGGCCAATCTTGCAAGAACTTTCTGAAATACAGTAATTCAGTATGAAAGTAAAAAATACTAAATACTAATAATAAACAATAAAGAACAATGGCGGAAATGTGGGTCGCTTACCGATAGATTGGATCCGGTAGACAAGAGAGGAATGTCTGGATGAAAACGTTACGGAACTTCCGACTCATTGCACAATAGATTAGGAAATTCACAGCTGAGTTGAGCAAAGACAGCAGATCCATCAGATCTCCAAGTGGTAAGTAAATCTAAAATTTCAATTCTTATTTGACCTGACAAATTTCCCAAATATGCTATGCTCCATAAAAAATGTTATAAAAATATTCCCACTGGGAAGCAAAACGAAGGTGTTCGCTCATCCCAGGGTAGAGAAGGCCCTGTCACGCTTATCGTTGTAGCTCCTTACTTTATAGTTGGGAGGGTATACTGGTAGAAGTTGTGAGGAATTCCCCACATGATCCCGGAAAAAGTGCCCAGGTATGTTCATAAGGCGTCAGAACAGCAGTGCATTCCGAGATGTAGGCGACTCAAATTGAAGGCGACTTTGCGATAGTTGGCTGTATGAAGCGACAGGCGACTTGTGGCGCTATGAAGCGAAAAATTT